CAGCCCTGCTCAGAAAGATCTTTGCTGCATGCAGCAGAGAAGAGCGGGCTCTCACGCAGCGCTGCCGGGGAGGCAGCAAGCCTGGCACCCCGCTCCCTGCTGCTGCCCAGGGGCCTGAGGCTGGGTGGTACCAGAGGCACGATGGCCGCCATGCAGGGGGCTGGCGAACAGCCCCACGCTGATGCACCCCCTGGAAGCCGAACACCTCCGACACCCTCCACAAGCCAGGAACGTCCCTCCTCCCTGCATGGCACTGGTCGCAAGGGACAGCAGCCCGCAGAGGCTGTGATGGAGATCTCCCCCAAATCCCCAGCCAGAGAGGGAACACAAAGTCAAACAAAGAATGACATCTGCCCTACCCTTACACTGCCTGCCTGCGAGATCGGGGGGGTGGGTGTGTGCACGCGCGTGTGGAGTATCCACAAAACGTATGTATAAAGGGACTATGTATTTTCACAGGAGGAACGCCAACTGAGATACAGTACTGGCTACAGTAGTCACCACATGAGAAATTCTCTGTGGCAACACCCAGGGCATCAGCAGAGAAAGCATCACAGTCTAAAATTTGAAAATGTCAAACCACGTGCTCTCTTTATAATACGGTCATTTATTAAAAGCAAGGCAAAAAACCCCAACCACCTCGCATTTAATCCTTGATCCTTGCATACAAATCCTGAAAGACAGAAGGTCTGTATGCACTGGAGGCCAGACAATTTGCAAGTTTATAATTCTATTGAGAATTTTCAAATGCAGGAAGCGGGGGAAGATTCTGTATCTCCTTAACCTCAAAGGATCACACAAGTATAGCTAAGCCAGAAATTATACCTCACTTAAGGCTGCATTTTCCTTTCTATATATATTTGCCATTTCTAGCTTCCTTGCTCATAATTTATATAGCTTGTACACTTTGTGTTGTTTCTTTTTTAATTCATATGCAAGCCCTCCATAGTCTCCTGCCTGACTCTTATTTTGAATATACTCTCATGCAGCAGCCAAACCCTCATGAAAAGCCCTGTAACACTGTTCACTTGGTATTCCCTATAGATGAAAAACAGCCGTAGTGAAGAAAATTCAGTTGTAAGCTGTTTAGTCAGAATTCTTTTTAAGAAGCCACTGTGTATTCATTACAAAAATAGCATGACTCCTAAGAAACAACTAGTATCATAATTCATTTGAAAAACTCCTATTCGCCAAGCCTATGGGTGTTGCACATGGGATCCTACTACATTAAATCCACTCAGTTGTTCTCTATTATTTTTCATTCATGTATCAAATTAAATGCTCTCAAGTCTAATGCCCATCTAAAGGCAACGCACTATGCCTTCAATTAAAACCATGGATTATAAATTTCATATGCAGGTTAACAACTTCGCAGGAAGTCAAACATGGAAACCAAACCCTGACAAAATGACACTCACCTAAAGTGAAGAGCATTGTATAGCTTTGAGATGCTTGGAGAGATTTTTCGCTCTGGAGTTGTCAAAACTAAATTACCAGAGGAGCTGCAGACTAAATTTAGACTCTCCGGGGCTGCATCCATCCATAACCTGGCCCTTTTGGCAGATCACTACTACAGCAGGCATTCAGAAAGCTCAGGGGACACTGCACTTAGCTCGGCCTACTTAGCAGAGACAAAAACACATGTAAAACTCCCAAAGAATACAAATACTTTATGACTAAGCCAGCCTCTTCCCTTGCTGCTTCTCATCGTAGCAGCTCCGTTCCTGTAAGTGGCAGTTGGGAAGCAGGCTAGTATTGCTACAGCATGTGTATTATCAAAGTTACTTCTCCACAGCAATGAGAAAAAGAAGGGCTGTTTGGTTGTTCCGTCTGTATTACGAACTGTCATGTTAAGCTTGAGGTACGGTCTGAATAAAGCCTTTACTGAAGGCAGAATATCACATTATTTCTTCTTCCCTAAGCTCAGAATGTCCAAAATTATGGCTAGGTTGGCTGCAAAATGTGGGCACCCGTGAGGTCTCACAGCCAGGTGCTGAACAGGAGCATATGCCACATCTAGGTAGCTCATACCTCCTAAAAGTAATGCCTTCGAGCATTTCATTCACACTCAGCATTCCTCCCCAAATGCAGTCCTCTTGCATTTAGCTTTTTCTGGCCTTTTGATTGCTCCTTATTAACAAAAATGAACAAGAACTGAATAGCCATATAACAGCATGACAAATCTTAATGTTTTTTTTCTCAAAAAGAAGAAAATGTCCATACAGTTTTATGGTAGGTTATAAAAATTAAGTTACAGTGGCTCTGCAGTTCCTTGTTAATGCTGTGAAATGCTTCACAGTTGTAAAGGGTTTCCCACATATTCCTTCTCTTTGAAGTCCTGGAGAAATGCTCATATTTTATGGAAACTACTGTTAAGCTGCGTGAAAGCTGCCAATGCTTCAAGGAACATCAGCCAAAGGAATGCCAGAATGAATGAGTTAGATCGGCCGTTCTTAAGCTACAGTCCATACCATGCTTGCTGGTGCTCTGCCTGTTAGCTAACTGGTCATTTGTGCTACTGTTCCTGTAGTTTCCATCCTGTAAACTACGCTAGAAGTACACTAAATAAACTATATGTACATTAAATAAACTACTTGGAGTTGACATGGTAAACTATATTAAATACAGAAAGATTCCCAAAGCTT